TCAAATTTCTAATATCTAATATTTTTACAATGTACATTCTTCTTTTATTAACACCAGTAAAGATTTTACTTCCACTCTTTTTCTTTAGGTATTTTATAATTTCCTTTCTTATCAATATTCATTTTTCTTTCTTTCTTTAATTCTTGTTTTTCTATATTGTTTAGCTTGCAGCTATTTGTTAAAGTAATTATCTTCTTGTGATTATTAAAAATTTTAAATGTTCTAAATTTTTCTTTTAGTTTCTTCATTTATTATTTTCTGAAATCATACTCTTCCTTTCCAGAGCATTTTTTTTCTGATCCTGTATCATTTAAAATACACATTTTGTTCACCTATCACTGAATATGATCAATGGTTATAAGGAAGCTGGTGTGGTTGGAGCAGAGAGGGAAAAAGAATAGAGTGTGAGATGAGACTAGACTCTGTAAGTTTTTATAAACTACATTAAGTAATTCTTGAATGAGTAATAGAAAGACATTTTAAAATAAAAAGTTCCAGAACTGTGGGTAGGAAAGCCACTCATGGAAGGATATCGTAGAATCTTGGAACCTTTGCAGAGGTGACTTGTGAATAAATCCAAAACATATTTAGGAGGCAAAATTGAGAGGCCTTGAAATTGAGTGGCTAGAAGAAAGGTGTCAAAGATGATCCTGGGTTTGTTTGGGCCTGCATGGTTAACAGCGCCTAGCATTTAGATAGAAAGCACTGGAAGAAGCTCAGGTTTTAATGAAAGATTATGGATTTGGTTTTGGAATTGTTGAATAGGAGGCATTGTTGAGACATTCAGAAGAATGGATCAAGTACACATGATGATCGAAAGAGAGAGAGCTGAGCTGAAGGTATCAGTCTGTAAGTCATCTGATTGTAAGAACAACTAAACTGTTTGTAGAGACAGTGTATTTGGAAAAAAGACTTCAAACTCCTTTCTGAAGTTCTATTAATAGTATGTAATGGTGGGAAGGAGAAGGTTCACGGTAACCAGACACATTGCGAAAAAACTGAGAAAGTACTGTATTATGGTAGCCAAGGCATTAGAGGATTTCTGTCTGAGTCCATTCAGGCTGCTATGCAAAATGCTATAAACTAGGTAGCTTCTACACAACAAAAATTTATTTATCACAACTCTGGAAGCTGGGAAGTCCAAGATCAATGTGCTGGCAGATTTATTTTGTCATAGATTTCCTCCCAAAGGCTTACCTCGTAATATCATCACATTGTTGAATAATTTTTAAAAACATGTAAACTTTGGAGGAATACAAACATTTAGACCACAGCAGTTTTCAAGAGGAGGAAATGACCAGCAGTACTGATTTCGGGTAAGAAGCCAAGGAAAAAAAGCTCTGGAAAAAAAGTTTTATGGACTTGGCAAATGGTAGGCAGAATTCTAAGGTGGCTGCAGAACCATCATTGCACCCTGAGGGTGCAAGGGGAGGAAATTATACAATGTATAATTCCCTATCCTTGGATGCAAGTTGTGCCTGTGACTTTCTTCTAGTCAATATAATACGACGAAGATGATGGTCTAGTCATAACCCTAAATCCTGAGTTAGTCAAAGTTGAGATTATCGTGGACGCGCCTGGCTTAATCAGATGAAAGGACTTAAAAGAGACAAAGGGGTCTCTCCTTGAGTAAGCAGTTGAGTAAGCAGTCAAATTTAGGATGTCCATGTCTTGAGGAATTTCAGAAGGCCTCTAGAATGCAAAGGTGCCTCCAGCTAGCTGCAAGCAAATGGAGACTGTTGGTGATATCACCACAAGGAAACAAATTCTGCCAACAGCCTAAGTGAGTTTGGAAGTGAATTATTTCCCCCATTGAGCTTCTGATGAGACTTTAACTTGCAGAGACCTGAAACAGGGAGCTCATGTCTGGATTCAATGCCTGGATTCCTGACTCCCAGAAACTGTGAGATAATAAACGAGTGTTGTTTTAAGATACTAAGTTTGTGAACATGTGTACATAGCAATAGAAAACTATTACAGCAACATAGAGATTACTGGTGATCTGAATAAAATCTGTTCCAGTGGCATGAGTGGGTAGGAGCCAGATCGGGCTGGTTTGGAGGAATGAGTGGGAGGTAAGTAAATGGAGCAAGTATAAATGACTCTTCTGGGAGATTTACCTGGGAATAAAACATGGGTGTAGAGCTGTAGCTGAATAGGTCTATGGCTTTGAGGACCAAGTTTTTATTTTGTTTTCTAATGGGGAATAGATTAAGCATGTTTAAAAGTCAGTCATCTATAAGGATCAATTTATTTTTACTGAAACTTTGCTTGACTATACAGAAGCAGCATGGCTAGATGTGATTTAAATTGAATAATTAACTGAAAGCAATATCTGTTGACTTCTGCTGATCCTAAAATAGAAAATACTGTAAGAGAATATGAAGGGCTATAAAAGCAAATGGTACACAATATGCTACTTAGCAAAATCTTTCTGTTTGCAACATCTCCAAATGTCCAAGTGCTCTCCTTACTCTGGAGGATCCTGCAATCTGAGCCAAGTTCCCTTTTCCTTTTAATTCTTAATTCAGAGAAGCCACTGTCATTTGCCTTTCTATGATGGTTTTCCAAGGAGGCTGGCAGCTTTCTATGGGAGTTGACCAAGAAAGTCTTGGTGAAGATCCCATGCTGAATTGAAGAATCATAGAGGAATAATGATGCCATTGTGTTAGACAAATTCCCATCTAACATGAACTACTATGAATATCACTGCAAGAATTCATCTAAAAGAACTAAGAGCTGGCCTTCCATATGTTCCAGGACAATCCCTCCCCTGAGAATATATCTGGAGGAGCATAAATCATTTTGCAAAAAAGACACCTGCACATGCGTGTTTACAGCAGCACTATTTACAATCACAAAGGCATGGAACCAACCCTATCACCCACCAAAATAGGACTGGAAAAAGAAATTGCAGCATGTGTACACGAAGGAGTGTTATGCAGTCACAAAGAAGAGCAAAATCATGGACTTCACATCAAAATCTGGGGACCATCGGACCAAGTGAGCTTTCACAGAAACAAAGAAGTGAACACCACACAGTCTCACTCACAAGTGGGCCTTGAAAAACAGTCGCATTCGCACTAAGGAGGGATTGGCAGTTCCTAGGCACTGCTAGGCGAGGGAAGGATGGAGAAAGACATGGGGGCACATGGCCACACAAAGGACACCTCCTGGTCCATTACCAGGGAGTGAGAGCTAGCTAGAAGCCCGAACTTCACCTTCATGCGGCCTATTTGTGTAGTTAGTCAAATACTTTTTAAAAAAAAAAAAAAGAATTTCAGCTTCATGGCATTTTGCAAACTTTCCTTGTCATGAATTATTGTTTCTAAAAATAATGGATTTTGCTTCAAAAACATGCCTTACTATTCTCCAACAAATGTTTAGCTTGAAATAAGAACAAAATAACTAGCAGAGAAAGAAAAGACACCACTTGCTACATCCCAGGCTCTGTACCAAGTACTTAATATAAATATTTCCCTTAATTCTTAAAACAATCCTTTAAGGTAGGCTTTTTCATTACATGCATTTCTTTCAGGTAAATAAACGGAGTCTCAGATTTGAAAAAATAATATTCAGGGTCATGCAGCTGATCACATTGTGTCACTTTAGGGGAAAAACTCTTTTCTGTGTCTCTAAAGTAAACAGTTTTAACTATTTCGTAGAGTAATATGCTGTTTCCATTATTAAAAAATGCAGTGGCTTTTTTCTGAGAGAATTAACACTGGTCTATAACAGGGCAAGTGTTGCTCATTATACGAAAAAGGGACAAGAAAGACCTCTCTGGAAGAGACTGAAATTTGATAGATTTCTCATTTTTCAGTATGTCTTTCCACGTTCAGTAACAGTCCTGCTGAGTACTTACGGTGATGCTTCAACACTTGCTCTGACTGCCACCATCCAATTGATGAGAATGTAGAAGAGAAGCAATGGTTGCATCATGTACCTTATTAGGAACATATTAGGTCTTTTAATGTATGCTCCTTACTTTAGAGCACAATAAAATTTGATTATGAAATAGACCAAACATCATTAGACGTGTGTATAGATGATGATTTACATAGCATCAGAAGTCAATCCTTTGTCCTAGGCGAATAGTTTTCAAACTTGAGCTTACATTAGACTCTCCTACAGGGCTTCTTAAAATACAGCTTACTGGACCCTGCTCTGAGAGTTTCTGATTCAGTAGGTGTACACTGCAGCCTCAAAATCTATTTTTCACAGGTTCCCAGTTGCTGCTGCTGCTGCTGGTCTGAAGACCACACTTTGACAACCGCTGATCCAGAACAGATTTCAAAAGTATCATGGGTCATCTTATTAAACTTCAAATGTGGATATTATGCCAACAGTATGCAACATGTAACTATATGCAATGGGCCATAAATATTTAAATAAAGCCTCTACAATTTCATATTTAATATTTAATATTTTGATGATGAACTACATGAGTTTATGGTGGGATACAGCATATCTATCTTTCAAAACTTTTTTTCTAAATTCAATTAAATCAAGTGTTTTAGTTTAGTGACTAACGGATTTATATTTACCCCCAGATGCTTATTCTTTTTCTAATACAGTGGTTTTCAAAGGCTTCTCAGTTTGAAAAAAAAAAATAAATGTTAGAAAAGCACTGTGGTTAAATGGAAATTGAAAAATGTTGACTTTAACTGCATTCCAGAAGTTTCTTTACTTCAGGACTTCTCAGAGTCATTCACATGCATGGGATACACATCCAAGAAAGATGTGGAAGACTGTGCAGCCTTTTCCATCCTCATTTGAACATAAAACCCAATTATTGTGGAGAATCTTGAAATATCAGAGGAGCATCCCTAAGAAAGCAATGTTCTAAGTAAGCACTTACATTTAGGCAACGTGGTAATTTGTTTCTAAAATATCAACTCAGTCAACAAATATTCTATTATTTGACAAAACATTTCGTTTCACCGTGCTACTCACCAAAATCTACTTAGAGCACAGTTAATCCTATTAAATATACTTACACTCCTCTTCAGGCCTCTTCCGAAGGGCTGCACGAACTTCTTTACAAGGGCTTCTCTGATATTGTGGGGGACTCCTTCCCCGTATTAAGTTCTCCATCCTGTAAGAGAGAATAATGGTATTCTAACACCAGAATGTTGATAAATGTTTATAAGCTAAATCATGTAAACGGAGAATCATGAATTTAACTACACAAGCTTGATAGATTACACCATTAATACTATCTGGCAAGGCACAAGACAGTAGGGAGCAACAGGGACCATGGTAAATTAGAGAGTGCCTGACTTTGCCAAGGCATTCCAATAAACAGTGCTAAAACACATGTGCGTGAAACCTATGCTTATTTTTCAGTTAAAGACCGTGTCTCCCCAAAATTCATGTATTAAAGTCTCAAATCCTAATGTGATTTGAAAGATCTTTGGGAGGTAATTAGGTTGAGTAGAGGTCATGGGGGTGGGACCCCAAGGATGTGATCTGTGTTTCTGCAAGAAGAGGGAGAAAGACTAGACCTCTCTGAGGGAGAAGGATACCATACTCAAGCCAGGATGAGGGCCTTCACAAGCAACCAAATCTGCCAGCACCTTGATCTTGAACTTCCCAACTTCCAGAACTGTAAGCAATAAATGTGTCTTGCAATTTAAACCACTAAGTCTGTAGTATTTTGTTATAGTACTCCAAGCTGAGTAAAATGGAGATATATTGACTAAAGAGTAATTATTTGTAAAGGAAGCACATTTATAAAAATAAGATCATCCTGTAGAAAGAATATGCATTATCTTTCTTTAACATTTCAAATATAGTTATTAAGAGTGGAATTGCAGCTTTCATTGTATGCTAATGACTGAATCAGAAGGGGTTTCTAGATCTAATAACTGTGACTTCTTGAAAAAAGTGGTGGATATGAACTGTACTTCTCAGCTACCGGTGATATGGCAATGCTAATGACCAGAAAATTACAGCAAATTCATCAAATACAACTTGGGTGAGCAGTTTCAGCAGTGTACACTTTGCAGTCAGTATTTTCTGTTTTCAGTCAAGTTCAGTTCTGCACCATCAATGCACAATTTACTGATCTATGTGACACTTTAAAAAATGCTATGGAATGCTGAAGACTTTATAATTTTGAAAATATAAACATGACTTCTCAACATCTACATGATTATCCTAAACCAGGGATATTCCTAGTTTTGATCATTGCCCTGACAGCACATACAGCTATTGAAAACAGTGTGGTTTTTGTGCATATTGTGGTAGAGAGTCTCCTCAGATTAGTGGTACAGAGGATTGTGTTTTTAGCATCTGAAGAGGAAATTGGGAAAGGATAATCCCATAGAATCAATATTAAAAATGGTGTGAAATATGAGATAAGTCACCTTTTGCAGTGGAATAGTAATGTCACCCTACTCCTATACAAAGTTGTCGCTGGTATTTAAAAATCCTCTTTCAAATGACTTCCTGAAATCAATCCATTCATATGTAAGGCTCATATGCCTCTGTGTTTAAAAAGTGCAAGAAAATGTTTCTCCGTGTGCAGTGACAACTTGAACCTCAGTTTCATTTGAAACTCACTTCAGGTGAGAAAAAGCGTTATTTTTCTCTGGATAATAATACAATGACAGGAAAACAAGTGGGAACCTAAAGAGTTTACAACATAATTTGTGTCAACACTACGTGTGTGCCTGGTGGGGGAAGGAGGAGGGAACTGAGCTTCCAGGCCTGTTCCTGCAGCTTCACCATGAGGATTAGCTACGTGAACTAAATTATGCCAAATTTTCTAGTTTCTGACTCGAACTAATTCAATGTGCTGTGCAATTTTTGATTATATGTTTCAGCAAATGTATGAATTTCCATGATGATGTAATAACAACGTATGTGAACTTATAATCATTCGCTAGTATCTACAAGCTCAAGTTTGTAAAATACAGCAAACATAACCTGCACATGCAAATGTCTTTATAAAATTGTGGGGTAATTTAAAAGCCAATTTTACTCTTCATGATTACACTCTGATAGGGAATGACAGCTTATCTTGGCTGGAAATATATATGTAAACCACTGTCTTGAATGGGCTATTATTTTTCCTTTTATAACTCTGTCAAATATGTGAAAACAAATGTGGTCTAGCAGATTTTCATGTAACTGTGGTTGAAGGTATGTCAGAAAAACTGAAATACAGGTTAGAAAGTACTTCTAAAGACTGTCAGAGAGTTTCACTTAAATCGTTGCTGCTATTAGCATCAAAGATCCCCAAGTCAGTCTCCCGGGAATCCTGGTGCCCACAGGTTACATTCTGGGAATACTTGTGAGCAGTATACAGGAGAGTAAGCAATGTAGCTTGGCTTAAATACAATGAACCTCGGTTCTGGAATCAGAATGCCTGGGGTCAAATTCTCATCTTGTCTCTTAAAGGATGACTTTGGAGAATGTTACTCACATACTTGGTGCCTTACTTTTCTCATTAGTAAAATGAGGACACTAGCTACCTCACCGAATTGTCGTGAGTATTAAATGTGTTAACATGTAAAATGCTTTGCATTGTGTCTGTCATGATGTGGGTATCATTAATCATAATTATCACAAGTAAAAATCATATACTAACATTTAAAATGTCCAATATATTAGGAAAAACATCAGAACTGGCCTTTTTTAAAAAAATAAAATGAGTCCATGCTACTGTTGAGAAAAAAATTATATCTAAGCAAATGTTCTGGTTATTAGAGAAACATAAAATATCCACATATAAAAATTGTCAATTCACAGAGATGAAGAACTTAATAAAACATACATTTTTTTATCAATAAGGTTTAAGGAATTACTAGTGATAATCTTCCAGAGATACTAAGGTGAATAAAAGTGGTCATTATCCTCAGGAATGAATCAAATTTATATATAACTTACTGATTTTTGAGAGAATTTAGAAAATATTTCAAAATGTTACAGTGACCTTTGAAAGAATAATTTAAAAGTTTTATAATGCATTGCCATTTAGCATCGATTTAGTTTATTCCCCTGAACAACTTTCTAAAATATTGTTTTAAGGATGAGGAAGCTAAGGCTCAGATATGCCCAATGACATGTTCATGGCCACACAGGAAGAGGCTCGGCTAAGACTTAGCATAAGAGATGTCAAACGTCTTTTCTAACATTTGATCATTTTCTAGTTGCTTATCAATCCATTATTTTCATGAGTTCATAATTATTTATTATAATTCCACTAAGAGACTAAGTAACTGAAATTCTATGGTGTAATGCATATTTAACTGTAATGAAATTCTCATTAAACATAATACTAATACTTATGTTACTATTTACTTACATAAATGTTATAAATATAAAATATATATAAATAAAATACATTAAATATATATTTGTATGTTAATCTGCTGATCACTTTTGAAAATAATTTTGCTATTGTCACAGAAATGTCTGCTTCAGTGACATTTTAAGTTTTTGAGAATGGCCATAAAGAAAACTGGGGCCAAAGAAACTCATTATAAATTATATAAAGGTGCAAAATAAATAAATAAATAAATAAATAAATAAAAAGGCCTTTTGTTCTTTGGAGTGCTAAATGTGGTGTCCTGACTCTCTTAGTGGAATTATAATAAATAATTATGAACTCATGAAAATAATAGATTGAAAAGCACACTGAAAATCAAGGTAAATGTTTTACAGAGCAATGCTCATATCCACACTGTTATATAACTGTTATATAACTGTGAGACTTCCATTTGCTTGAGATTACACTTCTGGTTACTTGAACTCTTTCACCAGTGTCACCTATGATCTACAGTTCACATGAAATGGTCAGACAAAATGACCAAAAATGAAATCTTGGAGTACAGTCAGGATACTGTATAGGGGCTATTCTAGCTGTTCTCAAAGTTAGTAAGCCACCAGTGGGAGTGTGTTAGCAATTCTAGCAAGGGGAGATCAAGCGTAATGACCACAGGCAACACAGATGTTCCAACAACTCACTGACAAGCTCTAAAATGTACAACCTACATGTTCAACTGCTGGGAAGAAATAAGGACAGCTAGATTAACGTCAAACAGCATGAGACTGCCATCAGAGGTTATGAGCAGAAGGTGTCCACGTCCTTCTTGGTGGTGTCTCTCAATTTAATTAGGTCTCAAAATCACCTGAGGAGTGATTTTCCCAGGACTAGAGATGTTCATTTAGTAGGCTGAGGGCAAGTCCTGGTTGATGTGTTTGTTGTTTTAACATGAGCCAGGTACTTCTAAATGGCCAGTCTTACACGTGTGCAGATATTGGCCTTGGGGAACCATGTAAATAAAAAATGTGGGGGAGGCAAGTCCAATGGGTTCATTCAGGTGACAAAGTTGTCTACTGAAACAGAGGTGGGATAAGGGCCTGAAGAGAAGGCTGAACTTAGGGCAGAACGACCACCAATGAAAAGAGGAGCCAAAAAGACACAACCAAAGACTTGTCAAGTCACCCGGTAACCCAGAGGAAGTCAGAGGCTGCCCATTTATAAGGCTGATCATCTCAATAGTGGAATGATTTCCTCCTACAGAGTGTGGCAGACGCAACTGGATCAGGCAATTTGTGGGGACTGACCTTGACTTGTGGCCTGGCATGGGAGTGTGCTAGTGAATGAAGGAAGGACTGAAACATGGGTGAAAATCTGCTCAAAACGGATTTACATTGGATGGAGGAAGAAGAGGGAGAATAATTGACTCACTGGAGGACAAAGGAATGAGGGTAAGAGAATACAGATGTCATGTATATGTATTCTAAAATACCTACAATGTGCTGTTAGGCTCTTTACATGGACGTTATCTACGTTATCTGTGTTTTATCCATGGTTAACCTGAGCTCAGAGATGTTAAGTGACTTTCTTACGATTGCACAGGGAATACGTGCAAAAAAAATCAGGATTTAAATCTAGATCTGTCTGACTCCAGATCGATTAATTGCATGGGCTATGCAAGAGACATTTCTACATGCTGGAAATGTTCAATATTTGTGCTGTCCAATAAAGCAGCTGCAAGCCATATACAGATACTGAGCTCTTAGAATATGGTTACTGGGAATGAAGAGAAAAACGTGTCACTTAAAAATTTTTATTAAATTTG